ATTTTTGGCTTTGAAGATGGATGAAGGGGGCCAGCAACTGAGGAAGGCAGGCAGCCTCTGGATGCTGGAAAAGTCAAGAAAATGGATTCTCCCTTAGAGCCTCTAGAAAGGAACTTAGCCCTGCTGACACCTTGATGTGAGCCCAGTGAGACCTGTGTCAGACTTCTAACCTACAGAACAATAGGATAATAAATTTGTGTTGTTCAAGCCACTAGGTTTGTGGTAATGTGTTAGAGCAGCAATAGAAAACTAACAGACAGTTTTTATCGCTACATCTTCAAGTTTACTAATCTTTTCATCTTCTCTGTCTCATTTGCCATTAATCCTATCCAGTGTATTTTTCATCTCATCCATTATAGATGTGATTGCTAGAAGTTTGATTTGGGTCCTTTTTTTTTTATCTTTTATGTCTCTACTTAACTTTTTGAACACATGGAATACAGTTATAAAACTGTTTTAATGTCTCCATCTACTAATTCTAACATCTGTGTCATTTCTGGCTTGGTTTTAGTTGATTGATTTTTCTCCATCTTATGGGTCATATTTTCCTGCTTCTTTGCATTCCTGATATTTTTGATTAGGTGCCAGACATTGTGATTTTTAAATTGTTGGGTGCTGGATAGTTTTGTAATCCTATAAATTTTCTTGAGCCATCTTCTAGGATGAAGTTAGGTTACTTGGAAAGAGTTTGATCCTTATAGATTTTGCTTCTAAGATTTATTAGGTGGTCCAGAGTGCTCAGAAGAGAGCTAATTATTCCCCCTCTGTGCATTCTTTGCAATGTCCTATGAGTCGTGAGGTTTTCCTCATGGGGAAGGTCTTCCTTCTGGCAGGTGGGAACACTGTAGCCCTGGGTTACAGTGGGCACTGCTGCCTCTAATCCTTTCTAGTGATTCTTTCCTCAGCCTCAGGGAATTTCCTCACATGCACATGATGAAGAGTTCTCAAGGGAGTTTTTCCAAGCTGCTCTTTCCTCCTTAGTATTCTATCCTGAAAACCCTAGATGCTTTGGTCTCCCCATCTCTAAGCTCTGTCTCCTTAACTCATGGAGTCCAACGGGCTCCACCTGGGTTTCCCCGTCCTACATCACAGCCTGCAAACTTTCTCAAGGCAATAAGCTGGGGCATGTGTAGGGCCCATCTCATTTATTTCCCATCTCTTGAGGGTCACATTTCCTCATTGCCTAATGTTCAGTATCTTGAAAAACACTGTTTCATATTATTTGTCCTTTTTTTTTTTTTGCCTGTTTCAGGTGGGAAAGTAACTTGGTCTCTGTTGCTCCATCTTGTCCAGAAGCGAAAGTCCTACTACCAATTCTAAGGGCCTACTGTATGTGAAACACTGTGCAAGATGCTTAACATGCAGTCACATTTAGTCCTCATAAACAGTCCAGGAAGGAATGTCACCCACCCCATTCTACAGATGAAGAAACTGAGGCTTAGAGAAGGTAAAAATTTAGCTCACAAACCAACAAGTGGAGGTGCCAGGATTCAAACCTGGGTTTGTTCAACTCTAAACTCGTTCTCTTTGTGCAATATAAAACCTCCCCTGTGGCAGAGGAGGGGAATGCAAGGAAGATAAATTAGGTCATTAAAACAAACTTTGGGATTTTCTACAGCATTCAATTGTTTATGCTTACCTTTTTCTCTGTTACTTAGGAAAGATTAGTATTAGCTTCAGTTAAAGAAAAAAATGATAGCAACTATTTCAGGAAGAAATTCATCATGAAAGATGAAGTTCTCTTGCTACTGTTTCTGGTTTTTTCCCTTTTCTTTTTTTAACCAGACTGTGTGGCCACTGGGCTTCCGTCCCATCCGCCACATATTACAGGCATTGGAGGTCCTCTTGAACAGTGCTTAGGGCCCAACCTGGAGTCAATCCTCAGCCTACCAGGTGGAGCACAGTAACTTAACTTCCCCAAATGTCCGAGTCACACACCTTAGGGTGAAGAAAACGAAGGAACCTACCTTTTTTGGAGAATGAAATGAAATATTCCCTTAGCTCAGCACCTGGCATCTTGCAAGCACTCTCTCAATGTTCACTTTTATTATCCCACTCTATTAAACACAATAGAGAGCAGAGTTCCTCAACGTCAGCACTATCGACATTGTGGGCCAGATAATTCTTCACTGGGGTGGGGGGGTGCCGTCTTGTGCATAGTAGGATGTTTAGTAGCATCCCTGGCCTCTACCCACTAGATGCCAGTAGCAGCCTGTCTCTCCCTCCCAGGTTTTGACAACCAAAAATGTCTCCATACATTGCCAAAAGTCCCTTGGGGGGCACAACTGCCCTCAGTTGAGAACCATTGATACAAAATAACCACATCTACACTGCCCACGAGTCTAAATGACTTTTACAATCTATAGCTGTGTCATGTCCCACAGGCACAACATGGCTCATCTGAAAACCATCACTACCTGTCTATCATACCAGCTTCCTCCTGTGTTCCCATCCCAGTGCCAGGCAACTAGGGGCCCAAGACAGAAAGTTGGGAGTCACCCGGCCTTTTCCTTCCCCGCGTCCCCACATTGACCCACACTCTCCTCTGGTGAGCTCATCCAGTCTCCAGGCTTTAACTGCCGTCCCCAGACTGACGATTTCTAAATTCACTATCCCCCTGCCCTCCAGACCCATCTGTTCACTGCCCACCCAAGAGCTCCACTGAGATGTCTCCAGGCATCTCCCATTTACCAAACATGAAATCCATCTCCAGATCTGCCACACCTCCCCCTTCTCGGGCGAGCACAAGTCCACCTTCTAGTTACTCAGTGGAAACCAGACACATCCTCAGCTCCACTGTCTCTCACATCTCATATCCATTCCTACCAGCAGTAGGAATGGCTCCTCTTCCAAATATATTCAAAATCTGACAACTTTTCACCATTCCACATGGTCCCAGCCACCATCATTTCTCATCCGGATTACCGGCATGGTCTCAGGGTTCTCTCTCTTCCCTCTACAGTCTATTCTCAACATGGCAGCCACAGTGACCCAGCTAAGACCCAAACCAGCTCACGGGCCTCTGCTCAAAATCCTGCAGTGGCCCCCTCTTGGCAAAGTCCTTGCGATGGTCTTCCAGGCCTCTCGCCCACTACTCCTCCAACTTCGCGGATGCTCTCTGCTTTGTTCTTTGCCATCCCTCCCACAACCAGGCGTGCCCCAGCGTTCAGGTTTTTGTACGTGCAGTCCTTCTGCCCAGAAATGGGCACGACTTGGTCCCACACCTCCTTCTGGTCTTTCCCCAAATGTCGCCTTCTTGGGGAATCTTTCCTGACCACCCCATTTAAACTTCACCTTGCATCACCTACCGTAACCCAGGCCCCTTCCAGGCCTTAATCTTTCCATAGCACTTATTACAATCAGTACACATAAATTTTATGTGTTTACATGACATGCTTATTTATACTGTTCATTCTCAGCCCACTCCCACTTTGTCTGCTTTATCAGCAACTCCAGAACACCAAGTAGTGCCTGGCATGGGGAGGGCATGCACAGAATGTGTGAGGAATGGAAGATTAATTACAGCAGCAGAACCAAGATGGCGGCACACACAAAGCACTCCCTCTAAGGTAGGCGTGATGGTAATGAACTGATGAGCATTAGAAGTTTGAACACTCACAAGGGAAGTGGTATCATTATCCCTATCTTAAAGGAAAGGAAACTGAGCCCCAGAGATGTTTAGAAACGTGTGCAAGCTACAAAATTAGTGAACTGTGACCCCAGACAGTCTGGCTCCCAACTCCAACAGCACTCTGCTCACTACTTCAGCTATGGCTTGTTCAAGGGGACCGGCCCCCAGGTGATCAGCCAGGACCCCAGCCCACCTTTTCTTGTTCCCAGCTGGGCTTTCTTCCCCTCTGAGCTCCTGAATTTAAGGACTTCCTTTGTGCCTGCATCTCTCTCTCCACCCACACGAGAGGCTTCGGGGGAGAGGAGGTGACTCTACAAGGCAGCAGATCCTGGCAGGGGGTCCAGGACAAGAACTCCTATCTTTCAACTTTTCTGTATAAAAGTTTTCATAATAAAAAGGAAAAAGAGTAAATGATATTTGTGAAAGCATTCTGTAAACCAACTAGCCCATGGGACTCATTCTATGACGTTCAGGTGAAAAAGCTGTCATTCTGATGTAATTAATCAAATGATATCTTAATTAGCCCAGGAATTATGGCAAATATTTAAAAAATAAAAAGTCATTATTTGAAGGTGCTAGCAGCTGCAATGTATGTCACAGACCCACTGTCATTTCATTGGCTGCCCAGGGGAGCAAGGAGCCCCAGGGGTACCAACAGCTGGATTCCCAGGGGTGCAGGCCAAGTGTGGGGATACAGCTGTTTGGAGCAATGTAGTCCAATGGGACATAAGGTGAGCCACATGTACAATTTTAAATGTTTTAGTAGCTACACTAAAAAAGTAAAAAGAAGCAGGTGAAATTATTTTGAATAATATATTTTATTTATCCTAATACATCCAAAATAGTATCCTTCATTTCAATGTGTAATCAGAAATTATTGAGATATTTTATATATATTTTTTGTACTAAGTCTTTGGAATCTAGTGTGTATTTTGTACTAAGAGCACACCCGGACTAGGCACATTTCAGGTGCTCTGTGGGCTGGTGGCTACAGGATTGGACAACTTTTAGAAGCCTAGGCTGTGGCTGGAGGGGAGGACTCAGCACCCTCAGACTTCCTGAGACTGCCCCTGTGTGTGTGCTCACGTGTGTGTGCGCGTGCACATATGGCCAGCTATGGGCAATGCCTAGGAGCCAGCTGGGCTTTTCTGCAGCATCTCCAGGGTCTGCCTCCCCAGCCCATCCCTATCAGGCTACACTAGGCTGAACCGGAGCAGGGGTCCATGTCGCAGGCATGTCCCTGGTCCTCTGTCTTCACTCATTTGTCTTGACCGCTTGGAGCCTCCACACACCACTTGCCCTTCAAGGGTTAATCATCCCCCGATCTGGTGTCCCTGCACCCTGCTCTTGACCCTGGCTGCCCACTTACCGCTGGGCAGACGCCTGCTCTTCTTCGGATGCCTGGCCAGGCAGAAGGGCATGGTGCGGAGGCGGGGGGCTGTGATGGGAGGATCGGCTGCCAGGCGCGGCAGGCCGGGCCAGGAACCGATGCCAGGCGCACGGCCGGCGGGCGCGCTGCTTCGGAGCGCTCGCGGCAGTGGCTGCGGCCGCCTGTGCGCTCTGCCCGTGGGCGCTGGGCCAGGCCCTTTTTGTCTCTCCTGGGGAACTTCTGCACTTCTCAGCGCCTTAGGGCCGGGACTGCCCGGGCAGGGTGAGGAGCCAAGAGCCGGGATCCCCGCGGGGCCCTCCCGCTGATGCATGCTCCGCCCGGGTTTCCTACAGCGGAAATCCCAGGGCCCGTCCCGCGCTTGCCACCTCGGGCGCTCCCTCCCCTGCATTCTCAGAGGGAGAGCACAGTAAGGGCAGCCTTGGGGCCGTGTGGTCCATCCCGTTCCCCCAGCATGGGAGGGCCTGAGAACACAGGGCTTGACCCCCAGCCCCACCAGCCTTGTGCCGCAGGGTCCTCCTCTCCAAATGGAGACCCAGAGAGCTGGGGGAGATGAAATGGACACCTGGGAGAAGCCTGAGAAATGTAAGTGCTCACCGGCTACATAATCTTTCTATGTTTCCATTTCTTCACCAGCAAAATGAGGCCAATAAGTGGACCCCCCTTGTGAGGTTCTGGTGAGGACTGAATGAGACAAGGAAGCCAGGAGCGGGCACGACGCCTGCGTGAGCGTCATAAGTGCCACCGTACTGTCTCTAGTCATTGCCGTCCCTCCTTACACACAGGGAAGCCGCAGCTCTTGAACTTCCAGTGGCCCAGGGCCACCCGGCTGGGAAATGGCAGAGCCAGGACTTGTACTTAGCTGTTTGGGATTCTTTCCATGAAATCAGCTGCCACCCTTATGGTGTCTCCCTCACCCCTGCGACAGAGAGAGCCGGAGCCAGACCCCTTGCCCAGCCTGGCCCCCTCTCCTCCAGCATCACTCACTCCTCCCAGGACACGGGGTCAGGAGCCTGGCCCATGGGCAGCCCTAAAGATATTTCCGAAAGAGGGCCGGCTCCGTGGCTTAGCGGTTAAGTGCGCGCGCTCTGATGCTGGCGGCCGGGGTTCGGATCCCGGGAGCGCCCTGAGGCACCACTTCTCCGTCCAACGTGAGGCCGAGTCCCACGTACAGCAACTAGAAGGATGTGAACCTATGACATACAACTATCTACTGGGGCTTTGGGGGGAAAAAACTGAATAAATAAAATCTTTAAAAAAAAAAAAAAAAAAGATATTTCCGAAAGGGCTAGGGCTGGCAGCGGGCGCCAAACTCTGTTGAGAGTGTACAGGGCGAGAGGCTGTGCTTGTGGTGATGCCACCCGTTTATTTCCCATCTCCCCATGTGTCCACCCATCCATCCATCCCTTCCACAAAGAGAAGCAGCCAATTAACAGCAAAGCACATCTGCTTAAATCTCTTCGGAGGGCGTCCCATTCTTGGAGTAAAATCCAACCCTGATGTGACCTTGGGCCTCCAGGTCCCTGACCACATCTCCTTCCACGTGCCCTCCCTTATTGCCATCAGCCATTTTGGCCCCCTGTCTCTTCCTTAAGCTCACCCTCTTCCAACTAGAACCCTGGTACTTTCAGGTGCTCCCAAAGGAGCTTGGTTCTTCCAGCCCCTTGCAGGCCGTTCCCTCTCACCTTTAGACCTCAGCTCAAATGTCAGCTAAATTTTCGTGGGTGAGAACCTTTGTCAAGTAACTATCCCTCCTGCCCTCACACTCTCTAAGAGCTTTGCATACTTTAGCTCAGTATCCTCACAACAGCTGTATAAGGTGGTACAATGATGATACCCATTCTACAGATGAGAAAACAGAGTCTGAGGGAGGTTGAGTAATTTGTCTGAGGTCACATGACTAGTTAGAGTGGAGCTTCCCAACTGGCCCTGGTCAGCAAGGGGAGATTATTTGCTAATTGGTCTCCTAAAGCACTGGCCACTCCCAACCCACTCTTGAGGGCTGAGGATCTGAACTCAGGCAGTGTGGCTGCAGAATTTGTGCTCCTGGCTCCATCTCTGTGGTGGGTGGCCTCTAAGATGGCTCCCAATGAACCCTGCTTCCTGGTATTCACACCCTTGCATAATCACCCCCTTGAATGTGGGCTGGACCTAGCAACTTGCTTTTAATGAATAGAACATGGCAAAAAGTGACAGGATGTCACTTCTGAGATTACATCACAAAAAGACTGGCTCACGTCTTGTGCAGCCCCCATTGCTCTCTCGCTTACGTGCTCTGATGGAAGCTGGCTGCCATGCTGTCAGCTGCCCTATGGGAAGGCCCAAGTGGCAAGGAACCAAGAGAAGCCTCTGGCCAATAGCCAGCAAGGGACTGTGACCCTCAGTTCAACAGCCCTCAAGGAACCTTCCCTTACCAGTATCCATATGAGTGAGCTTGAAGCAGCTCCTCCCTCAGTCAGGCCTTCAGATGAGACCACAGCCCCATCAACACCTGGATGCAGCCTGGGAGAGACCCTGAGCCAGAGGACCCAGCTGAGCCATGCCCCGATTCCTGAGCCACAGACACTGTGCAATGATACATGTTTGTATTTTAAGGCACTAAGTTTTGGGGTAATTTGTTATACAGCAATAGATAATGAAAACAATCCCCATGTTGTGAAAACACAGTCTGAAGTACAACCTTGCCCCCTGTGGTCTGCTGCCTCAGCAGGCCTGGACAGTGGGGATCTGGCATTATGTACCCTCACATCTCTTTCAATAATAATGATGATAATAATAATAATAATGGAAGCAGCAGCCGCCTACTATGTGCCAGGTAGTTATATACACTACGGCGTTTTATCTTCTCCATAACTTGTGTGATAGGTGTTATGATCCTCGTTTTACAGGTAAAGAAACTGAGGCTCAGAGAGATGGAATCCTTTGCCCACGTCACACAGGTAAGAAGTGAGGAGGCCTGAATTCCCAGCCTAGAGCTGCTGCCTCCAGGGCTGCCTGTTCTGGCCACTCTTTCCACCTTAGCTGCTGGGACCTGGCCTCCTTCTCCATCTCTGTACCTGACCCCTGAACTCTCACCTGGTGCCAGCCAGAATCTTTGCAAGAAGACAACTAAGATCACTAGGTAAGGCAACCTGTCCTGAAGTGTTGGGGTTGCTACTTTATGGATTCTCTCTCCCAGTTCAGTGCAATAATGGGGGGGGGGGTTTCTACCTGTGCCCTGATCTGAGGAGTTTACAAAGGTGTTGGGGAGGGGGCTGCAGCTGTGTAGTGCACCTCTGGGGATGGGGGTTGGGAGAATCAACGTGGCTCATATGAACTGTAAAGCTGCTCACACTTAGTGGTCTCCAGGTCCCAGCTCAGAGAGAGCTGGCTGTGTCTTAGTACCTGGGGCTGGGTGAGCTCTCCAGCTGGCCCTAGGTGGTCGGGAGAAACTACATGCCAGCCAGTCTCCTAGGGTGTTGGCCACCTTAGACCCAACCTTGTGGGGGGTGATCATGGGACCTGAGCTGCCTGCACATACAGGCCTGGGCCCTCCCAGACAGAAATTAGCAAAAAGACAAGGTGTGCTCTTTCAGCTGAAAAACTGAGGCCCCACTTCAGGAGGGCAGCAGGATGCCGACTGTCTCCCCCGTGCGGGCCTCAGGGCCACTAAGAGGTGCTGGCTCCCCAGGTCAGACGGCCTCAGGGCCACTAAGGTGCTGGCTGCCCAGGTCAGTAACGGGGCAGGGTCTTAGGGGGAGCCGGGCCTTCTGCTTTCCGCGTCCCTTCTTAGGGCTACTGTGAGCAGCAGCCCTCAGCCAGGGACATGAGGAGGCTGACAATCCACCCACCTCTGAGTTTCTAGAAAGCCTTATTATTGTCATAAATGCACAGAAAAAAAAGAGACTTGGGGAGGTGGAGGGGAAGGAGGAAAGAGGACGCTGAGTGCAAGAGCGAGTGCTGGGCTGTCATCTGTCGCTGGGGCCTGGAAGTAAGTAGGTAAAAGGTTGTCTTGTGACCTAAATATGTGCCCCAAATAAGTCTGAACAGGTAGGGAAAGAAGGAACCCCACGGAAAAACGGAAGTAAGAGGCAGGGAACTCTCCAAGACACGGGAATGAAGCAAGGCAGCCTGGTGTCTCCTGTCAGCTGGCTGCCTGATGGATCCTCCTCCCCAACTAACCACACAGGCAACCGCAGAGCCCAGGGGCTCCTAGATGCTCTCCCTCCCCACCCTGCTCCATCCCCAGGGCAGCACTGCAGTGGGCCCAAGGTGCCCTAGCTCTGTCACCCTCTGTCACTGGGGAAAAGGTTGCCCTCCCAGGGACTCTCCCAGGGGAGGTGGAGGCGGAGGGCAGAATGTCAGGAGGGGAGGCGTTGGGTGGAGAGAAGCAGAGACTTCAGGTCCCCAAGGTTCCTTTAAGGCTCTCTTGAATCTGTCCCCTAGGGTCGCTGTACGTGGACCCAGAGGAAAGAGGATGCAGCCCTGAGGGCATCAGCCTTCACAAAGCTCCATGCATGTGACATCCACCTAGGGCGGCGGGTGCTCTGTTTTCTGAGAGGGAAGACAGGATCCTGTGAAGAAAGGAGAAAGCCGGCGGAGCAGGATGGGGAGGAGTGGGGTCCCCTGTCCCCGCACAGACTGTACCCAGTGTCACTACAGTGGGGGACGTGGAAACCTCATGTCGGCCCCTCTCCTCCTTGGGGTGTGCTGGCCGAGAAGACTTCTTTGATCTCAAGTAGTGAACAGGGTGTGCCAGGCGCCCGCCCATCTGTCCTCAGGGCCTCTAGACATTCCCCATCAAGGCCCTCACTGGCCCCCTTCCCCCAGGGCCAGGACGTCACGGAAATCACGGACATATTAAAAAAGCATGTCCCAACACCCCCCAAGTCCCAGGCAGAGAGTTAGAGCCCTCCGTGCCCCAAGCAGCGTGCAGTGGGCCCCCCGTTGTTTGTGGGGTTCTCGCACCCCCTCTAGCTTTCCATTGCACCTCTGATGAGCTGGAAGCAAAAGTGAAATTCTTGTTTGCCTGAGAAAGGCAGTGGCCACAGAGTGCACACTGTTTCAGATCCCAAAAAC